AGCTCATAGATCTGAGTCTTAAATATTGGTCTAGGACTTCAGTTTTTTTGTCCGTTGAAGTTTTTTTTTTTGGCCATCCACTTTCTCTTCAGTACGAAAGTGGTGCCAGAACTGCTTGTAGCTCTGGGCCTTGTTCCCAAGGTGATGTGATTAAAGGCTTCTGTCTAGGCGGCATCCATTAAAATGTCTTAAAAACATCACTGCTACTTTACCTAATTAAATTATTGGGAGAGTTGACTGAAGCTACCAACAAAAATGACGTAAGATCAACAATGTGGCACCTAAATAACTCAGGCTGTGTTTGCGCTATTGGAAAAAACAGAACAGAGTGGATGTACCCTCTGTGCCTTAATTCATTCCATCTTCACAAAGACTCGATCTCTTAAATAGTCTGAAATTTGAAACATATTCCTTGCTTAGAAAACCTCAAATTGAGTGTCTTGCAAAAGATAACCTGGAACAGCTGAAGCAGATTAGTCATCTTTAGCAGTTGGAATATGATCACAATAAATGTAGTATAATGTTTGGCCAGGCATAAGTTGACATTGTTTTGTCTACAAAATGGATTTCTATTTGCACTGAGTTCCCCATTCTTATCTAAAGGCTATATTAGATTAGGCTTATTTGATAAACACACTGTGGTCAAATACAAAACCTTGATATTACATTCACAATCTCTGGGTGTTTGGGTTTTGTTTTTATGTTCCAACCATTTTCTTGTTTATTATTAAAAAGTGTTTTCATACAATGTTGTTTATTTTCATATTTGGATTTAGCCAATAGTTAATTTGTGTCCAACACCTCAACCTAAAAACCTAACAAATACAGTCCAACCTTAAGTCAACACAGAGGAGACCTTGATTTAATAGTTGTCAGCATTTCTCCTCTGCTTATTTTTACATCCAAAAAGCATCTATTTTGGTTTATTAGCTAAAACCAATATACAATGCATTTAGCTTTCAGTTAGCAACATGTCATTACCCAAAAGATGATAAGATCAGGCTAATAAAAGAAAAAGACACTGGATGCTTCTGCCCACCATTTCTCAATGCATGAGATAATGTTGTATTGGCCTCTTTGTTTCTTATATAGGCTTCAGGTTGTGTCTGCTGCAGGTGTTTTGCAGACAGTACTGCAACCCCCCCTCCAAAACATGAAATATAATGTATTTGTTCAAAGATTAGAATTTCAGGGTAAGATGTCCTAAGCAGCATTTTGTGTTGTTTTATTTTAGTAAATACATTGCCTAATATGTTGCAGAAGTTAGTCCTCGCAAACCCTTTAACTTTACAGCATGGTAAAATGCAGCATTCATATTCTAATTCAATTCAATTCAATTTATTTCTATATCGCCAATTCACAACATGTCATCTCAAGGCACTTTACAGAGATAATTTAACCAGTTCATACCATCAGATTGGTTCAAAAATTTTCTATCTAAGGAAATCCAGCTGATTGCATTTTCTCATTGACTCAAGGGTAATCCCTCATACCAAGCAAGCTTGTAGTGACAGTGGAGAGGAAAAACTCCCTTTTAACAGGAAGAAACCTCTAGCAGAATCAGGCTTAGTGTAAGCGGCCATTTGCTGAAGCCAACTGGCTTCCAGGAGACAGAAGCACACACAGAAAAAGAAGCAGAGATACAAAAGGCAACTGTCCACCATTCCCACAGGCGGCCCAATCCAGGAAACACACAGCGTGGCAGATGAGTTTCTAGCCAGCTCTCATATCAGAGGATGAAAGAGCACGTCCAGTTAGTCACAGTCAGAGAAACAGGTCTACACTGAAAAACAGCCCAAGCACCAGCATGTATAAACAAAGGTTTCGATGGCAGCATCACAGGTGATATTCCTCTTCAGGATGACTAGATGAAGCTACCATCAGAAAAAGCAGAGAAAACTGGCCGCGGGAAGTGGGGGTGCTGGGGTTGCTGCTGCACCCCTAGTGGTGAAAGGGAGATTTAAAGAAATGTATTAAAAATACTTTGCACAATTTATAAATTTGTTATGAATATTTTGGGAACGATTTAGACTTTTTAAATTTTACTCTTGCTTGTATTTGGATTTTAATTTCATTATTTTCAGACCTAATCAACACAAGTTCCCGGAAGTTACATTGTCATGGCAATGTCAAACAAGCCAGTGGTCGCTTACGAGATATCCTGCTCGTGGTGGCAGATAAATAAATTTACATAGTCTAATGACAGAAACGAGGAGGAAATATGGCACAGAAATACATTTCGGATTCGTCCGCTGATGAGAGACTTTATCTCCTCGACCTCAGAGCCACCTGAACATTTGGACACCTGTAACTAGGGCACCTGTCTGAAGCTCTAAGTAAGAGCATCGTGCCGCCGCATACTTTCATATCAATTCGTGCAGTTTAACGTAACCGTAGTATTATTAGAGTGTTATTTTGATATTGTGTTCTTTGTGTTATGGATGTGGAGAACTGTTCAAAAAGGTTTAAATAGTATAATAATATAATTATTTCCTTATAAGGATTTTGGAGCTAATAGAGTCACATGTGACATAAACACAGACTCAGGTTAATGCCAGCTGACCAAATCTACATTGTTATAGTGTTATTGTGAAGTTTAATTAATAGCTCAGGATAACCTGAGCCACTCCAACTATAAGCTCTATTAAAAAGGAACGTTTTAAGCCTACCCTTAAAAGTAGACAGGGTATCTGCCTTACAGACTGAAACTGGTAGTTGGTTCCACAGGAGAGGGGCTCCATAAGTAAAAGATCTGCCTCCCATTCTTCATTTAGAAATACTAGGAATCACTATTAAACCTGCAGATTGAGAGCAAAGTGCTTTGTTTGGAAACATAAGGAACAACCATATCTCTGATATAAGATGGAGCTTGGCCATTCAAGGCTTTATATGTGAGAGGGAGGATTTCTTTTTTGTTTTGAAAGGATTACAATGGGGGAAAAAAACTGTGTTGTGGAGGCAATAATCTCTGAAATTCCTGCTTCTCCAGACAGCTATTCATATTTTGTCAAGGCATGGTGTTTGTGTTTAAGTAGTGTAAAAATTCCTCCAACAAAGTGTCACTATATTCTTTGTTTTTAAATTATATATTTGACAATACTTAAACTCACACATTCTGTGTATTTTATTTAGCGCAGCCTCTTGAAGTGCTAGTAAAGTGTTTATGTGTGTTTTGATACCACTCCTCGATGATTCAGCTTGTAACAGATTACAACACAGTTCCAGTTAATTGTATGCTGACTAAACTTTACCTGTAAAATTTAATGAGTACTGCCATATATGTGCTTGGGTCACATGCTCTCTCTTTCACAGTGAAGTAAAATGCTTAATACTTGTACACCAACAACTAAAACACAGCGAGTTTTATTTATTTATTTTTTTAAGGAACTTTAAGCAAAAAAGACGCATCTGTATGGCTGACCAACAGTGACACCAAAACTGATCAATTGTATAAAGTCGTGCTTCTCTTTGTTAAAGCTCAATATACATGATATTATTTATTGGTATATTATTTTAACAGACTAATTATAGCATATTTTAATAAGACTGCAAATGAACTGATCTTTATTCATAAAAGTGTTAATCAGTACAAGAAATACATGCACATGTCAGCTTCATAACATAAGTGGTCACAGTGGTGACTTAGTTATTAGTGCTGTTTTCACCATCTGTTAAAACCAAAAAGTAAACACATTGTAAACTTACATTATGGCTTAAAGGTAGAGTTACTGATCATCATAATTAAAAATGTAAACCAAAGTCACACCGATCACATTGCTATAAAGTATGATAACCAATCAAATGGATTTTTGCTGAGTCCATGTTGGTCACTATCAAGCCCTGTCCAGAGTAATTACAAAATGGGAAAGAAACAAACCAAAGCAACTTAAAGAAAAAGTCAGACAAGGACTGTGCTGTGCTCTGATGTAATTATGGAGAGATGATGTAATTGTCTATCAGCATGATTGTGCTCGTTTCATAAGCCCATTGATTGATTAAGTGGTCAGTAACTAGGAGTGCTTTGCAGTTAATGTGATGCATGCCTCGTCATTGGCACTCCACCGTATTTATGTCCTAGATTGGTCTTTTTTTAAAATGAATCCATTAATAAAGCCCAGATTAAGTATCCAACTAAAAAGAGTCATATTTCTTGTCTAATATACTGTATTTGTTCCTATAAAAGGTGACCTTCCATAAAACCTGTATAAACACTATGTTAGGGGTCTTTTAGGTAGCTGGCTGATGTTTGTTCTCTCTCTCAGTTTTATTCAATAATCCAGGCCAGCATTAATGTATCGTTGTCACTGCTGATAGTTTATCAGACTCAACAGGAGAGTCTAGAGCCTCCATTTAATCAGTGCAGCCGCAGTAAAAGCACTGTTGGGATAACTCTGAGTTACGGTAATATTTCCTTTGTGTGGATGCCTGAGGCTTGCTAAAGGAGTCAGAGGCAGATGAACGGATAAGTAACTCGTTCAGAGGTCGTCACCTGCAGTACTATATGAAGAAAGTGGAGCTTTTGAACAGATTGGGACGTTACTGAGGAATGTATGTGTGATGTCAACAGCTTGTTTGACCAGCTGCCCTGGAGTATAAGAAGAGGAAGAACCAGTGTTACTAGACTTTCACAGAAAAGCAGACTCTCTCAGATATATTTAGTTTATGGAGGATCTGAAATGTTTTATTATGTAACAAAAGGCTGTATGATGTGTGCCATTTTACTATTTTTGTAATGTGAAAGGAATACAATACATTCAGCCTCATGTGTTTTATCTCTGATCTTGCTGCCTAAATGGGAGGGCAGTTTGTTTCTGTGGAAAGCTTGTAGCTGGCTCTCCTGGTTCTGGAGTGGGAGACTCGCATGGTCAGCAGCCCTTCGTATACCCCCCCTCGTCAGTGTCCTCCTTCATCCTCTTACCATTTCTTCTCTTTTGGTGGAGGAGGCGTGTAAGCGAAAGGAGGAGGAGGAGGCAGGGCATGTTAGGCTTGGGGAGTGGAGCCTGGGCGGCAGGCAGTGCATACAAACACACATGCTGACACGCACACAAACATCCTCAGTGAGCGTAAGTGAAACAAGTACTGGCTCCACTCAGCTGTGAGTTGACTGGCTCGCCGCTGTCTATTTGCCGGTATGCCGCAGAGAAAGAGGAGTTTCACCTTTGGAGCCTATGGAGGGTAAGAATGAATGAGTGTTTGACTGTGTAAATGAGTGCCTGTTATTGGCTGCTGCTTCGATGACTCTGCAGAACCTTTTATATTTTGCTGTTTGTGCATGGGAAGGAAACCATTTTTATCAGCTCACATTTCCCCATAATTTTTTTTTGTTTGATTTCACTCTTTTACTACTACTGTTTTGTTAATATTTAGCTATCAGTTATTATGCAGATTCTAAAACTAGTACAAAATGACACATTAAAAAATACAAACAAATAAATGAATTTACTGAAAAAGGATATACTCATCATATTAATTTTTGTGTTTTTTCATAGAACATTTTGTTTTCTGTGTTACATGCAGATATGTTTAAATGAGATGTTCTGTTATGCTTGCTTTTGATTCAGCACCTTAATCTTTTTTTGTAAAGAAAAGGTATGCAGGCATTTGCTCAGGCATTTGCTTTATTTTAGTGACATACTTGAATCTTTAAAGGATGTAGAGCATTACTTAGCAAATACTTTTTTAAGGCCAAAGGGTCAATTAGGTGTCTGAGTACAACTGGTGCCTGGCAGTAGAGAGGATTTGTATGTGTGGGAGTGTGTTTTAAATGGTCCAAATAACTTTTTATTTTATTTTATATATGACAGTATTAATTTTCATATTTTGCAGATAGTTACAGCTTAGCTGATTTATTTAAATTCAAAGCATGATTCCAGCTAAATTTGTTTATAAATTCAAAAACACCCAGAAGAAATTCTCTGAATCTACCCATTCAGAACAATAACTCTTGGACTGAAAAATGATCCCATGTGTGAAGAAGGCTTGTAATTCACCAGAGGAGAGGACATGCTGAGCATGAAGACAAGTTTGCACTTTTTTTCTGCCTGCCAGCATATTTAGCAGTCTATGTAGCAAACATGATCAAGCACATGTAGATCCGATGTTGAGAGAAATAATTAGCTTTAAGATGGAAACGCTCTTGATTCAAATAAAACTAAAAGCTGTACTTTTTTCTATTCTTTTCTACAAAAGATTTATTGTTTTCACCAACATTCATGTCTGAATTCAGAAGTCTTACATTTGGGATTTGGGCTTTAGTACCTAATTAGTTTTCTTAATTAAGCATTCTGGGACTTTCAACAATAAATAAACAAACAAACAAAAAAAACACATATATTTTTATTGCCCTTACGTTTTGATATTAACTTATCTATAATGCAATCATTTCATTATTCCTGATGCCATATATAATTAAATGATAAAAAGTATTGTTGGTGTAACAGTAATCTGCAGTTAAACTCAGAACAAAGAAAAATATATTTCTATTGTTGTCTATGATTTATTCTGCATCTGCTTAATTCAGACTTTTCAGAGCTTCCTATTTCCTCTCGTGATCTGGGATCACCTGGTCAGAGGAACCATGTAGGAAAAAAAAAACACCAAAAGGGAAACTAAAGGCTCCTGGTTTTAAAAACAATGTACAAACCAACAATGCTTTGATTGAAAAATGTTCTCATTACTTTTGGTTTTGTTGTTTTCAAACTCAAATGGGGACACTGGACCATGCTTTTGCCAGCTCATTCCCACCATCAGCTCATGACGTGCTGTTTTCACCCTAGAACACTGACGAACAGCTGATAAACAAGGTCAGGCATTTCTTTGTTCAAATATCAACTTTTCAAGCAAACAGCATGAAGCTTCTTCTTCTAGTGAGTTTCATTCTCACAACTGGAAATACTCGGCAGTGATGTAAAAAGTACAATCTGAAAACGGAAGTGCTTTGTTCTCAGCTTGTCCAGAAAGAAGGATGAGACTCTTCCCTTTTTGTGATAGACTTTGTTGTTAATTCATAATTGGTATGTAGTTGGATGCAGTCAAATTTAATAAAAAAGAAATAAGCAGCACCAGCTGTAGTCCTAGAACCAGGGTTTAAATTACTAATTTTATAAACACCACTCACTTTATTTATCTATCAAAGCATCTTTCATTTTCTACTGACTACTACTAGATAATATATTTAGCTTTCTTGTCTAATGTAATATATTTGGGAAATCATAGTGTTGAAAACTGAAAGCCAAAGGACACTGACAATAACGACTGTGGCTGTTAAAGTGAACAACTGTGATGCTATTTATTGCTCATTGCCCTCATGTTTGTATTATGTAGAGGCATAAAGGTGACATTTGGTAGTGTTATTATAGTGGATGTGTATTATAGCAACTCTAGTCAACACTATATAGACAAGACTTAAGCTAGGAAGATTAACTTTTGCTACACTTTCCTATTCTTGTTTTTTAAAGATAACAAATGTTTCAACAAATAGACCTGTTTCACAATGTGGCACACTTGATTTTTCCTTTATTTATGGTAATCTAATTAATAGGGTTAGAGTGCAGATTACTCTTAGATTGTGCCTTTATCCAATATAAGTCAAATGCTAGCAGAAGCAAAAGCAAAGCTCTCAGGTATTGCTATCAGACATTTGCACTTAAACAAAATCCAGAAAAAAGTTGCTAAGATGAGCTTCTTTAGGCTCAACTAAATGTTATGCTTTTGCATGGAAAATCAAGTAATTCAAGCAAAACAGTGAGTCATTAGAAGGTCTTATTGACAAGAGTGAGGATGCTGCAGACGAGGGGCAAGCAGGCAGGTCCTGGGGATGAGCAGGACTGAGTCCGACACGTCAAGCAGAGACATACTTGAACAGAGGTAGCCGACAGCACCAAGCTAGACTTCAGTTGGGATAGAGGATTAGCTGAGGTTTGAATCTGCAGTAATAATAGGACCTGGCCTGCAGCTGTGAAGAAGGTCAGACATGGCCTGCCACTGTCTAGAAGGTCAGACATGACCGGCAGCTTCCCAAAAGGTCAGATGTGGCTTGAAGCTGTCTAGAAGGTCAGACATGGCCGGCAGCTGTCCAGAAGGTCAGACAAGGCCAGTAGCTGTTCAGAAGGTTGGACTTGGCCAGCAGCTGCCCAGAAAGTCAGGCATGGCCGGCAGCCGCCCAGACGGTCAGATATGGCTGGCAGCTGTCCAGAAGGTAAGACATGGCCGGTAGCTGTCCAGAAGGTCAGACATGGCGGGCAGCTGCCCACAAGGTCTGACATGGCTGGCAGCTGTCCAGAAGGTCTGACATGGCCGGCAGCTGTCCAGATGGTCAGACATGGCTGGCAGCTGTCAAGAAGGTCAGACGTGGCTTGAAGCTGTCCAGAAGGTCAGACATGGCCGGCAGCTTCCCAAAAAGTCTGACATGGCTGGCAGCTGTCCAGAAGGTCTGACATGGCCGGCAGCTGTCCAGACGGTCAGACATGGCTGGCAGCTGTCAAGAAGGTCAGACGTGGCTTGAAGCTGTCCAGAAGGTCAGACATGGCCAGCAGCTTCCCAGAAGGTCAGAAATGGCTTAAAGCTGTCCAGAAGGTCAGACGTGGCTGGCAGCTGCCCAGAAGGTCTGACATGGCTGGCAGCTGCCCAGAAGGTCAGACGTGGCTTGCAGCTGCCCAGAAGGTCAGACATGGCCAGTAGCTGTCCAGAAGGTCAGACATGGCTGGCAGCTGTCCAGAAGGTCAGACATGGCCGGCAGCTGCCCAGAAAGTCAGACATGGCCGGCAGCTGTCCAGAAGGTCTGACATGGCTGGCAGCTGTCCAGAAGGTCAGACATGGCCGGCAGCTTCCCAAAAAGTCTGACATGGCTGGCAGCTGTCCAGAAGGTCTTACATGGCTGGCAGCTGTCCAGACGGTCAGACATGGCTGGCAGCTGTCCAGATGGTCAGACGTGGCTTGAAGCTGTCCAGAAGGTCAGACATGGCCAGCAGCTTCCCAGAAGGTCAGAAATGGCTTAAAGCTGTCCAGAAGGTCAGACGTGGCTGGCAGCTGCCCAGAAGGTCAGACGTGGCTGGCAGCTGCCCAGAAGGTCTGACGTGGCCAGCAGCTGCCCAGACGGTCAGACATGGCCGGCAGCTGTTCAGAAGGTTGGACGTGGCCAGCAGCTGCCCAGACAGTCAGACATGGCCGGCAGCTGCCCAGACGGTCAGACAAGGCCAGTAGCTGTTCAGAAGGTTGGACGTGGCCAGCAGCTGCCCAGAAGGTCAGACATGGCAGGCAGCTGCCCAGAAGGTCAGACATGGCCGGCAGCTGTCCAGCATGATTAGTTTACATTCTGGCAGCAAGTGGAAAGTGAGGCAGGTATATAAACATAGTGCATAAAGTGGGAGTAATCAGTCCATATGACACTAAGTTTGAATAAAGATATGGTAAGAGTTTATTTTCTCCTAGGAGAAGTTTTTTTGAGAAGAGCTGCTGCTCCTTCCCATTGATAGGATTTATTCAGCTAATGTGGTTCAGGTTTCTTCCTGTTAAAAGGGGTGGTTTCCTCTCCACTGTTACTTCATGAATGTTCAGTGTGATTAATTGCTTGAAGTGTCAACAACAAAATGCAAGCAAAAATTGTCACTGCAAGCTCACCCAGGAGGAGCATGTCAAATACTGGATGCAATCAACTGGTTTTCCATGACAAAAACTTTAATCCAATCTGATTGTATTGTCTCTGTAAAGTGTCTTGAGACGAAGTGTTGGGAATTGGCGCTTTATAAATGAACTGAATTGGACTAAATTCTCATCAGGATGCTGAATGCTTACAGTAAACCTAGCAGTGTAGATGGATGGATGTATAGATAGATGGATAGATGGGTGCATGGATGGATGATTTAAAGCTACTGTTTGCTGATGCTTTGCTGTGTTTGGGCTCTATTTGTTTTTTGTCTACCTTACTGCATGTAGCAGAACAATTGATTGAAGACAGTGGGGGGGAGTGAATGAGCTTTCTATTTCAAGCAAACAACACATTTTTTTTCCGACAGTGGCCTGGAAAGGGACCACACTTGACATTTTGTTATGTCAGTCTGATAGATCAACAGGGGATGTGTATTAGACCCTGCCTGCTTCATTTTATTGGCTTTCAATGAGAGAAACAAAGCTCCCAAGATAGGTTTGTCTCTGAAACACTGTGCTTCCAATCAAAC